AGAGAGAGAGAGAGAGAGAGAGAGAGAGAGAGAGAGAGAGAGAGAGAGAGCAAATGGACACAGCATGAGTTGAGCACCATGATAAAGTGTGACAGATGACAGCTCCCCTTATCATAGGAGGGGCATAGCAAGCATCAAATACCCTGATTACAAGGATGGTCACGTTCTTCAAAATCAGAGAGCACTAGCTTACCTTCCCAACAGCTGATGTGTGAACGTTCTTCAAAATCGGAGACCACGTGAAAATAAGGAACCTCCACGGAAAGAAAAGTGTCGGAGGCAAAGAAATAGGATATGGCTACCAACGGTGTTCGCGGAGACGAGGCAAGGGAGAGAGAAAATGGGAGGCCTTGTGACCATGGAGAAGGCCAGAGGGGGTAAAATGCTGCAACACGAGAGATCCCACTTTCTTCTTCGCCTGATTGCTAGCAGCACTTGCTGCAGAGACGTACTTCAGCAGGCAAACTATTAGAGGGGACCACTTCGCTAGCAGCACTTGCTGCAGGGACGTACTTGAGCAGGCAAACTGTTAGAGGGGACCACTTCATTCTCTCAGCACTTGATGATCGACACATAGTTCCCAACTACAGAGCCCAGATTCCCATGGGCTGCCACCACATGCATTTCATTCGAATTAATTGGGGAGCAAGAATAAAAGGGAAAGCTGCACTGTCAGTTGTCCTGGGAAAAGCTGCACTGTCAGTTATCCTGGACTTGTACATGAAGTATGAACACAGAGCAGCACTTGCTGCAGAGATCAACTTTATCGCGCAAACTATTGAAGGGGACCGCTTTGTACTGCCACGACTCAATGATGGACGCAGAGTTTCCGTCTTCAATGACCAGATTCCAATGTTGGGAGTGAAAAGCCAAACATAGATTGTACCAACAACCTGTGGGAGAAACATAATCTGGCATTAACCTGGAAACAGCTGATACAAGTCTCAGAAGTACTCACGCAGATGAAATGGTCGGTAGCATCCGTCCCCTATACATGCGGAAAACTGAGACGCAAGACAACTTGTGAGATTCTGATGCACTCATATAGGACCGCTGCAAGGAAGTCTGCATGCCTGGAATGGGTGCACAAGGTTGAGCAGGGGGAGATACTTCGAGGCTGCTATGTGATAGTAATTGGCGATACCGCCAAGAAGTCCGGAGATACGTCACACAGACTTACTCTGCGGATCTTGGAAATAAAAGTTGGGCTTAGGGTTCCCCAATTTGACACAAAAACCTAAAGCTGTCAGGCGGTGAATCATTTTCCGGCGTCCGCATATCAACGAGTGGAATTTCAAACTCATGGACTTCATTTTTTGAGATTTTTATTACCTTGTGGTGTACGTCTGCACCAGCAACTTTTTAGCACTTCTTGTTGTGTGGCACATTAACTACGGGGCAAAAAAAAAACGCTATTTGAAAATAGTATCAATGGCACCGTATGTAATGTAAATAAAAAGGGCAGATTTTCAAACATGCAAAATAGGCTCCGTTTTCATTATGAAAATGTGTTACGTCAATATTTGTCATTAAAACTTCATGTAAGCACAATAAGTGTACCAGCCACAAGCAACCACTGTCACCAAACAATCAATCAAAAAAAAGAAAAGAAACAATCAATCAATCAATCAATCAATCAATCAACCAACCAACCAACCAACCAACCAACCTGAAAATAGTATCAATGGCACCGTATGTAATGCAAATAAAAAGGGCAGATTTTCAAACATGCAAAATAGACTCCGTTTTCATTATGAAAATGTGTTACGTCAAGATTTGTCATTAAAACCTCATGTAAGCACAACAAGTGTACCAGCCACAAACTACCACTGTCACCAATCAATCAATCAATCAATCAACCAATCAATCAATCAATCAATCAATCAACCAACCAACCAACCAACCAACCAACCAACCAACCAACCAACCAACCAATCAATCAATCAATCAACAACAAAAAAAAAAACCGCCATTTCGTGCGCAGCATGTGTTTGTGTGTATGTGTGCCCCAGGGGGGTGGGGGGCGCGATACCCCGGCAACCAAACAAACAATCAATCAATCAATCAATCAATCAATCAATCTACATATGTGAAAGTTCAGAAAAAAAACGAAAATGCGACATTGATTGATTGATTGATTGACAGATTGGGGAGGCTCGCAGGGGTATCACGCCCCCCACCCCCCTGGGGCAGGGGGGGCGACCCCACCCCAGCCAATCAATCAATCAATATGATGGGCGGTTCAGAAGCGCGCCCCCCCCCCCCGCCCCCCCCTATCTTCTACGATTTTTAATTTATTTTTTGCCCAACAGAACAGACCAAAAATTTAGAGGTAGGTGCTTTAGGTCGTCCTTAATTTATTAAAAAAAACAATTAGGGCCCGAAATGGGGCTTGGCAGGCCCCAAACCCCGGCCTGAGCCCCCGAGCGTTGGGGGGGAGGTTTGACCTCCCCCCGAACGTTCGGGCGGGTAACACTGGTGCTCATAATATACAATGTCTGCACCCGGTTTTTGAGTAAGGCCGCCAAACAAGAGGAAGCACATGCAATTCCAGGACATATTTGCTCTGAGCAGATCAATACAGTGGCCAAACAAGAGTCACTCAGAGAATAACTTCAGCAATACATCCGCTTCACAACAGAGATTGCCACTAAGGTATAAAATTCCACCGGCCAGTTCACAACTAGATCACACCACCATTCGTGAACAGCATTGCTCATAGACTTCAGCTTAGGATGAGCCATTTCAAGGACTTCGATGTCAATCTCAATTTCTTATCCATTCCGATGCAAGGGGAGGGGGGGGGGGACGGCGTGATGATGGCAGATTCTGAAGTAATTCAGTCACTGCGAAGGATAGTCTTTCAAACTAGAAGAGGGAAGGGGACAAGAGGTTGGTGGTAGCGGTCATATTTTGGAAACGCTGGCTTTGACAGGATATCCCGTTCAGCCGTGACAAAAAAAGGAAAAGGACGAAAAAAGAAATCAACCATCTGCTCACAAAACCTTCACTCATTCCCATGTGAAGAGGGAACAGCAAATAATACATCAAAACCACTTGTCCAAGCACCAAATCACATGGAAAGAGATTGTCAAATCAGAATCCAGGGCTTGAGATGAGAAACAGCATTGCATGCCTTCAATGTCATGACTCGCTGTAGATCATATAGCCCAGAAAACAGCAGAATAGACCAAAAAAAGCTCGGCAGTCACACATGGACAGTGAACTCAGTTGACATGGGACCGTCCTAATCGCACTGTGCAGGCCTTGCAAGCAAGGAAGAGCTCAGAAATGGAGGGTTGAGATACTGTTCCGCCGTACATGAGAGAGAGAGAGAGAGAGAGAGAGAGAGAGAGAGAGAGAGAGAGAGAGAG